CATACAGCTCATCCAATTACAAGCTCTTTACTCCTCCGTGTGGTAAGTTCCGAACTTGCAATTATTTTCAGATGTCAATTATTTCCATTTTCGTAATTATTGTTCGCATTGGCCAATTATTATCTTTGACAATCTTTTTAATTATTATTATCACTGTTTTAACTGTTATTATTATCACTATTTTAGTCACTACGATTACTTTCATCAGAATGATTTCCACTACTGTTCTCAGTACTGTATTTTCGAAACCCAAAAGAGGTTGCATGGCATGAAGACATCCCTCACCAGCCTCATTTTCGTTTCCCTTTCTGTTAATTAATTTTCCGTAATTATTACCTTAATATAAATCTATCAATTCTTTTCTCCTTTTCCAATGGAAAATTATAACAAGGAATGAAAGACAGAGAGAAAAAAAGGAAAAAAAAAGGTACGGAACGAAAATTAGAAAATTTGCAAGATTATTATAATGGTAAGAAGGGTTTTGGTCCATTAAGTCGTATACATTTCTTACCATTACCACGATTGGAGCTCGTCATTACAACGCTTATGGTAATTGAAGTTAGTGAAAATTAAAGTTAAATTATTTGTGCAATATTTAAAAAAATCAAATATTTACTAGTTCCATCTTCTTTCTACTAAAGATGTGAGTAGTTTCTCATAAAAAGGAGCAAAACGGCTGGCTTACGTGATCGGTAAATCCCATCCAGCCGTACGGCGAGTTCCATGCTGATGACGATGAGCCAGCAATTATATCAGCCGAATTGGAGATCGGTGACCAGCACGAGTGGAACAGATTGCTGCTCCCACTGCTATTGGGCGGTGATGGCGAACTACCGGTGCCCCAGAGCGATGAGATTTTTTCATCCTGTGGTGCTGGCGGAATCCTGGAGGGCTGGTTGTTGAAGCATCTCACTGCCATTGGAATCGGATCCGGTAAACTATTATTACTCGTTGTCGTTGTTGTTGCTTTTGTTGTTGTTGCTGTTGTTGTTGTTGTTGCTGCTGCTGTTTCGGTTGTTGCTGGTGGTACCTCAAAAATGAGTACCATTAAAAAATGAGT